ATCATAAAAAGGCCAAGCACAGATTACCCAATGTTAATTTCAACTTTATTTCCATAAATCAGTTACACTTCAAGTGGTTAGATCCTTTGTTTCACATTTCTCACCCTAAGTACACACCTACAGTACCTACCACCAAATGTGCACTTATTACCCTTCTAATAGCCATTAGTGGTTACTGTATTTTTTGTCTGATGCAAATATCATTTGCTAACAACCATTTATAGTTACTTTCTCCATTTACATGAAATGGAGATAAGTTGTACCTTGATGGTTCTCTGTTTGCTGCAGGTGCAGCCAATATTAGAATTGTGTAGCAGCCTTAGAACACAATAATGAACTGTTAAATCAGTGTAAAATCATCTCAAGGGTTCTACGTATGGAGTTATTTCACACTGCAGTAGGAATAGGATGAAAAACCTACACAGTAGTATCTATTCTATTCCACACACTTCATTAAAAGGGCTTGTCTTCATACCCTCTAAAGACGTACCTTGTGCAACTATGAATTTAGTGGAATAAAGATGCTGACTGTTAGAGCTACTTGTTGAAGCAAATACATAATGTCTTCCATTAGGAGGCCACGATACATACTCTGAATCCTTCTGGATTGGCTGAAAAGCACAGAATGCACAGAAGTTCCTAGTGTCCTCTATAGAATGTTTTTACAAAAAAAAACCCAACAACTTTAATTTATGAAAAAAAAATACTTATCCTCTCTACATAAAAATCTCAATTTCAAAGAATCTTTGTATATTCCTTATGGAGTCAACATGAGAACACATTTTTCTAGAGTTGTAAATACCCTCTTTTAGAAATGCTTGATATCTTTGGTTTTTTTATATGCTGGATGGAAAAAAATAGTTTTAAAGGGAATAAATTGCTGTTTACCTGAGGTTTATCTTTCATTTCTTCTAACATGAACTTTGGATAAGATTAACTGTATGGTAGCTGAAAAGGGAAATTCTCCACAAAACAATGAAACACAAAGGTTATTTTAGTAGTGCATATTAAATAAGACAAGGCCGTTTCAGTAAATCTAACTCTTAACCTTCTTTACAAATATAAAGTATTACAAAAATATTCACAATAGTATTTCTATATGAATCTATTATTCCATATTATATTTGAAAAAGTGCTTAGAGGCAAGTTTAGTAATTGCAAACTCATATTCTTCCAGTTTTCTAAAGCCCTGATCCAGTTGTTTAAAACCACTGTTCAATACAGAACAAGCAGGTAAGACAACTTTTATTTTTCCTTCTATGAATGCCCTCCCTAACGTGACATGAAAATGTAAAAGTAACAGTTGCTTGAAAGCACAGTGTGATTTGTGTTAAATCGCAAATTAGCAGTGTAGTTACTTCTAAATAGGAAGTTTCACCTCTAATGTAAGGCTTTGAGAAATATTTCATTGCTTTCATTTTTTATCCTTCTTCTCATTATCCAATACTTTATATTCGTCTAACACAGCATGGCCAGTTTCCTTTGCAGTTTTCTTTACAACAGCTTTGATACCAAGATGGTCAATGTTAAATGCTGTCACACCAACGTTGATTGCAGAATTCATAGCGTTGTCTGTAGCATGGCCAGCATCGTCTCCATACCTTAAGAAAGATAGCAGTTTTGTAGATACGTATACTTAGTATTGTTCTATTCACTAGAATTCTTTGGAAAGCAAAAATTTAAGCATTACCAAGAACAAACAGTAAGCACACAGCCTGAATGTCTAAAGAATAAAATCAGAAGTTACCAAGCCATTTGAGTAAGGGCTGCTCCTCTATCGGATGCATTACTCTTTAAAGATACCAATATGCTTCTGCCCTTTTTTCTCAAAAACCCTTCCAATCTTTCTCCCTCCTTGTCCTCTAGTTTCGAAGAGGAGAGGAGAAGGCTTATTTATAGAACCATAAGGGGGCGCGGAGTTGTGTGCAATAACCCCTAAGTACTTTTTCACCTACATTCTTAGGTAAAACTCCTAGTATGCTCTCTTTGCCTGCCTAAGTCCTCACAGCTAGACCCCTGCAGCTGCTAAACCTTCTCAGTCCATACCATGGGTGGCAGCACTGAGGAGGAGGGAGAGCAAACACTGTTCTGCCTTCACACCCGTTACAGAAAAAGGGACCAGAATCACCTCAGGCATGCCTTTTCTCAGTTAGTACCACCACTGCCAGACTAGTGCTTGGTTAGTACTTGTCCTTTATCACCTTTCACTGAGGTAGTGCACCATTGTACTCCAGCAAATTAACCCAGACAGTCTAACAGGTCTCCTGGGTGGAGAGAACTGCTGACACAGCTATGCTCTTATGTTGGAGGTACCAAGGTTCCTAAAAAAAAAAATAATTTTAAAAAATCCATAGTGCAGTGAAAATTATCTGAAGTAATGTGGAATCAACAGAGTGGCAAAGGGGAAGAGGCGAGGGGGCAGAAAAGTTAAACAAACCCCAAAACGCTCAAAGCTATCTTGAGGATTTGTTGAAAATTACCAAGAGATAAAACCTCTGGTCTCTCCACTGGGCTGTAGGTCCAGCCTCTTTTTGCTTTAAGGGACAAGTCAGCAGTCTCATATTAATTACTCAAGTGTGAAGAAAGGTACACATCTACTACAGCAGAGAGAGCACACTGAAGGGGGGACAATAGTACAGCAAGAGCAGTAACTCCAGCAGTTCTGGGCAGTCAGACGTTTCCCCAGAGAGCACTGTAGTCAGACAAACCAGGCCAAAGGGAAGTATTTCTGGCAGCATCAGAACCCCAGCAGCTAGCGGAGTTAATTTTTCCCTGTGCTTCTTATGACCAGAGATTCTTTGAGGACCTCAACATAAGGCTAGAGAGAAGCACAGAATATCAAAAAAATCTAAAAAAAAATAAAAATAATCTATCACATTATCAGTACCGCAGCCATGGCATAGTGGCTGGAACCAAGAGTGAACCTGAATAAAAAGAATTGGTGCTTTTCTTGTTTTGTTTTTAATTCTCCGATAGAGCAACAGCCTTGAATCACTAACATCTGATTTGCAGATCACAGCATTAATCTCATAGCAAAAGTGCAGTATTTATCAATTTGATTAGTTATTTTCACCTCAGGTAAAATCATAAACCAGTTTTATGTAACATCAGTAAAACAGCACCCTCATTTAAAGTAAGACTGTAGCTTATCCAATACAGTTAGTCTTAATATTTGATAATTGATTTTTCCCCCAATTCTGATTAACATACACGTATGATGAGCATCTCTTTATAATTCCATCCTCAAAGATATTGTAGCCAAGTTTTAGCTAAGGTTTTTGTTGATTTAGAGACACTGTGATGATGCTCATTTAGCTTGGTTTCCACTAAGTGGAATTTAGTTCATTCACTGAAGTATTTTGAGTTGCAGAAATCTTTGTCACTAAACCAAAAACCAGCTTCCAAAAGAGATACTATGTAGAGTTTTAATACGTTTATTTAGATAGATTCTAAAGATCAAATATCAAATATTTTCAATTGTATTGTAACTAACTGCAACAATTAATTACTTATTGTTTTTCACTCTTAGTGGCTGTTGACTGCTGATCTCCATATTTCCTATTTTTATATCTAAAACAAAAACATCAACGTGAATTTATGTGAAATGAGCACCAGTACCTCCTGACTGTCCTACTGAAAACAAACACTAGCAATAAAGCACCAGTGACTAGAACTTCACTATCCAGCCTCCTAATCGAAACGCATCACAACACAACCCTGAATGCCAATCCACTTGGTACTGTATGCTGATGTTTACTTTGTAACCTTCTGCTAGCAGCCCGGAGGCACTTTCAGTCCTCTTTTTTAATATCTCTTTTGCTACACTTACCACCAATTCCATTTAACCTACATGCTTTTGCTTACTCTCCACTTCTGTTACACCCTTCAAGAAAAGTGGAATAGGTATATTTCATATGTTTTGCAGTTATTTCAAAATATTCCCTTATTCTCCACAGCATCTTCCAGTACATGAACTCAATTTTGTTCTTTCCATCATCTCAGTAGCATCACCTTAATCTCAAATGCTGCTGTCTTCTTCCCCCATTATCTTTTTCTAGGAATATCTGTATTTTGCAAGTCGAGGCTATCCTATTATTGGTATTTATGCCTTAGATTTCCATATACAATTTTGGGGTTTTGTACCTCCTTGCTTTAGTTAGACCTGCTGACAGATGAAGTTCTTCTGTTTTTCTTAAATTTAGCTAAGTTTACATAAATTCAGGATCAGAGCCGAGAGGTTTAAACCAGTAACTTTTTTCACAATGACATTATACTGTAGAGCAGATACAAATCTGAGCATTATTTGTAACATCGCCTGAAGCTGTAATACTTCCAGAAGAGGGCTAAAAAAGTACTCACCACAATCATTTACTCATTTCATATTTTTACTTACAGGAGTTGCTCATTGCTCTGCACTTGGCAGCTTATCATGTGCTGCACGATTAGAGCAAAGCAGGTATTTCAGTTAGCTCCCCTGCACTTCCATAAGCTCTTTTTTTGCCAGTATTCAAACACAATGACAGTATATTGTAGAAGATGAAACCAATAAAAACATAACTTACTTGTATTTGACAGTTTTTACAGTCTCAGTTGAAACACTCTTAGCAATGCACTTAGCTGCACTTTCTAAACCTTGCCACACTGTTGAAAACCCTGTAAGAACAAACAGCTTATTTGAGTTCGTAGCATTGAAAAGCATGCAATTAAAAAAGCACAAGCAATTTTTATTACCTTGAACTCCACTTGCTGCTACCACCAGAGCACCATCAAAAGTGGATTTGCCATCTTTATCTTTCTTCAGGGATTCTGGAACTAATTTGCTGCCGTGCTTCTTCACGTGTGGAGCCAGCTCCTTTCCGACACAGCTCGCTATGGAACACACTCCCTCAACTACCACAAAACAAAAGTATGCACATTATTTAGTAAGAACACAGAACATCTTTCTTTAAAAGTCCTTACTCCTAATTAAAAGTAAGCTTCACTGAAGTCTTAAGTGTTGCTTCTATTTAAATATGCTTATTTGAAAGACAGACTTTAATCCAGGCTTAAGTATCCAACTGATAGAAAAGCAACATTATTTTTCAGATTCTGCACAGCTCCAATTCCTAAGAAATAAGTAAGATTGATCTTATGGCTAAAAAGCACTTCATAAGAAGTAGATATATGTGTCACACTCTAATTTCAAGAATCCATTTCCATTGTTTTGTTATTCACAACTTGCAGATAAGGAATGAGCTGTGTTTGTTTCCTGACCTGTCTTCTGGAGAAGTCTTTACTACAATCATTCCAGCTCTTCAGAGTAATTTTATAACATCCTGCACAGTTTGCTTTTAAACTTGGATGAATCACTAGACATGAAATATAAACATTAGTGCAAATAACTAACAAAAGGAAGTTACTGCAAGCTGCTGGGGTTACCAAGCACCTCTGAACACCAAGCCATTTCTATCTGGAAGTTTATATATAGGCTAATATAGACTTTAAAAACATGCACACACACGTTCTCTAGTAATACAACATACACGTTAGTAACCAGTGACAGTGCAGCTTTTCAAATACATAGTTATCACCTTAAGAAGAAAGAGAGAGACCCCTCTGAATTAACTGTCTAAAGCTTAGAAAAACATGCCAAACTTAAGACTGTACAGATTATTCTTTAAGGAAAGAAAAAGATGCTTAGAGGCTATATAATGAATATTAGTCCTAAAGCATGTCTCTCGCAGGAGATAGCTAGGCACGAACCACTGATCTTTGGATTTCATCAGGTCAGTCACTCCTCTAGTTCACTGGCTAGAGAAACCATGTCTTACTTAACAGAATATTTATTATTTAAGTAAAAAATATAATATACTATGAGACAGAAATTTTTACCTAAGAATTGGCTGACTTTCACAGCTCCTCCAGTAGCCTGTTTTGCTACATGAAGCCCCTTTGCCACAGTTGGGTTGACTTCCAGAGGTTTTTCTTCTGGTTGAATGTGTTCTCGCAGTTTAGAAGCTCCTTTGTGGATAGCTTTACCAGTATATTCTGCTCCTTTTATTAGGCCCCAGCTTACCCAAGATGCACCTTCAAGGCAAAAATTGTTTTTCTTAGAATGTACAATTTTACAGACTATGATTCCTACAGCTTTCCCTCCTCTGTCTCTGCAGTACTGACTTAAGAAACGTTCCTGATTACACAGTTTGCAATTATACTGTTCCCCAAACAGGCCAGCCTGAGTTCTTGTAACAATTTCTGCTCCTACACCACCCATGTTTTTTCAATTCAAGTTTAATACAGCCAGCCCTCATCCAAATGTAAGCTTAACACAGATACGCAGGTTTTTTAATAGATATCTAAGCCCCATCTGAGTCAGAAGTGACAGAACTGCACATCTCAATGCTATTAACATTCTGAAAATGTACAAGCCAATCTTCTAGCCCTCCTAGCAGATTTGTATTTATTACAGTCAGCTGGTGGTCATTAGTATATTCCAAAGGTTTTCAGAGGAAAAAAGAAATGTTTATCTGCAGAAATCACAATAGATGCCTGCTTTAATATAGCTGCTTACACAGGAGTAAAATTGTTCTGTCACAGTGGTTTGAGTCACAGAGGGTGACATCCTAACATACAGTCAAGTGAGGGGTCTAACTCATTTGCAGTGAACAAGACTGTTGGCAATGGATTTAAATTCTGCACGGTTTTTATAAAGCCCACCAAAGTATCCTTTAGGTGATTACAACTGGAACTGGTGAACAACTACTTCTGACCACTCGGCTTCTACCAGCACACATGCATTTAGGTGAAACAACTGTTTAAATGCTACTCACAGAGGTTTATATTCAACACAATCCTCCTATTCCAACAGTACCTGACAAGATTCCATGGGCAACTTTCTCACTCCACTCTGGCAACTCTTTCTGATTTTCTGCTCCTTCTGGTTGAGGTTGGATACGTACAGTCTGAGGCAAGTTAACGGCATCACTAGAGGCCTCTGAAGGCTAACAAGTGAAAGTAAACATCTGAGAATTTACTTTGCAACATATCATCAGGATTTCTGGTTTAGACCATACACATCTGTTATCAGAAAACACTAATGGTGTGCATTCCTTGGGTAAGCATACAGAAACTCAATGGAAATTTATGATTCAATTACTTTTGCACAGAAACGCGATGCATTCAAAAAAAGCTTATCAGACAGCTCAGCATTTTCTGTACACTTTCTTAATCCAGTTACAATTAAAATATTTGCATGCCAACACAGTCAAGTAACTAAAGAGGGAAAACTTACAGTACAAGTTAACTAGCAAAAAAGATAAGAGAATTGTCCATCTATCATTTTTTTCTTCTCAGAGAGAAGTCAACTCTGCTATTGAGTATTGGAACTGCAGTCCAGCTGCACTAAAAGAAGGCAGCTGTTCTGGTTGTTTTGCTCTTCATCCTTCCCTCCCAAATTAAAAAATAAAGATTATTCATTCTACATGCTGTCAATGCTTTTGTAGACTGGCACAGCCAAGGAACACATCAAGCTGTGCATGATACTGCTCTCCATTTAAAGTTGAGTGGATAGGTTCGGTGTGGTTCCATGTCAAACACTAGAGTTTCTGGAGTAGACTTTAAGCATTCAAACATAGCGACCACCACCACACTCTGGTCAGTATTTCTAAAGTGTAATATCACTTTACATAGTACACAGACAATGTGTAATTAAATGCTAATTAGAGAAAGAAAAAAATGTAATAGGTTTAGGTGTTGTTTAGGATTCTATTTTTAAGACTTTTCCAATGTAAAAGTAAAAAAATAAATATTTCAGTAATTGAAAACATTGCTAGTTAATAAGGGACAGTAAGAAAAACCTTTTTGTCTAGTCTAGAAGAATCTACGTGAAAGCATTCAGAGATGAAACCGATGAACAGAATAGAATACACAATATGGAATAGTATTTGATATTGCAGGGAATCCTTAGATTCCTCTGAAATATGTACTGGAAATAAAAATAGGGTATTGCACAAAGATGGCTGTTGCAGTAAAACAAAACCAAACCAAGATTAAGAGAAAAGAATAGATTAAGTCTTGGTAAGTTGCTAGGCTAACATCATCACTGACTTGTATGATATCATCAATTACTGCTTGACAGCAGTATAAAATCTCACGTTTAAGAAATATCTTTAGCATGTGACCAAAACAATTTGGGGGCTGGGGAAGAGAAATGACTTTGATACACAGCTATAACTAAGAAAACCACCAATAAAAAAAAAAAAGTATGCTCCAGATATAATTTAGTTACACCACAGTTTGAGTCACTATGTAGAAAAACATTCGATGAGACTTCTAAGGACTTTGCTAAGGAGCAGAAATGGGTTCTCTAATAAGATAGGTGACTGTCCTATAATTACATTAAATATACTTGTTAATTAGATCCTCATGAGTACTATATAAAACATACATTAAATGGCCATCAGACTAGGATTTGAAAGATTTGTGCTCTTTCACAAAGTTTTAAAAACTCCAGAAATCTGCTACTGATTTGCAAAATGTGGTAGCCTGCAGTTATTGAACCAGCTCTTAACAAGCAAAAAACAAAAACACAAAAAAAAAACCAAACAAACAAAAAAAACCAAACAAAAACAAACCCAAACACTGCAGGGCACAGCATACATTGCTGCTTTCAACCAAGTCTGGAATCTGAGCAGCTCTAACAGGTATTTCAGTGACAATTTTATTTTTTTTCTTAATAACTATAAAATTTTGGAATCATTGTCCTGGAATTTACCTGGACTTTGTGGCCAGACAGCTGTTTAAATTTATCTTCAAAATACGCTCTCTCAGTTGCTGGGAGCTCTGAAGATAACCCTACTCTCTCATGGGATCCTGGCACCTGTGATGTTGTATCAGGGAACATTAACAAAAACATGGAATTTTAGGACAAGAAGAAACCAATGAGCTATCCAATTTGAACTACTTCTACACAGGAAAGATAACAGAAGTTTATCCAGTAAGTCCTGCACTGAAACATCCCATAATTCTGTAATACTTTGCCCTTTTTAAGTAAAAATTGGTGGCCTCCTGTGCTAGTGAAATTCCCT